CATAGGCATATATTAAAAGGAAATAAGAGGTGCATGGGTTGACAAAATGACAAAATAAAGTACATAGGAAATATAAAAATGCTGCTGGTATCTCATGCAGGAGTCTCTTCCTCAAATGTGTGCATTAAATCTGAGATATCTACTGTGAACACGCTTCCCCATTTGCAGAACTTCACCTTTAATCCAAGTTAAAGAGGATAAGAGACTAGGCTATTTATTTTCAAAACAGTATACAAAACAATGCTTTTTACTTCATAAAATAACTGTTAAAATAAGGAGAATATGAAGGATTTCAAGTACTTAAAAAACCTGAATTCAATGAGGCAGAGGTCTCAATGTTAAAGTGACTACTTCGTACCTGTGGTAAACATTATCATCCCCCTCTGCTACCCTACTATAACCATAACCCCTTTTTCTTCGTGCCCCACCCTAGATAAAAGTTGGTAGATTTCAGTATATACAAATTTCCAACTTTTCAATATCTGATAATACATGACAAAGCTGTCTAATTATATCTATTCCCTAGCCTATCTGAAAATGGGAGCAAGTTCTACTCTTTGTTTACAAATAACCAGAAACCCATTCTATGTGGCCCTAGGCCAAAGGAAATTGCTCCAAATGATCACATCATGTCTGCAGCAACTTGGGCGTGGCTAGATGCATTAGCCTAGTAAGAAGTAATTCAAGTCTAATTTGCACTGCCCATAAAGCAACTTCCCAGTGTTGTCGTACCTCATGTACAAGTACATCAAATGTAAGCTTCCCAAGCTGTAAGGACTCCATGGTAACTTGTTTTCTTATCCTGTTGGGACATGGCGAGTGGCAGCACCTTTAAGGTGAACGCTAAAGGAAGAACTTTGTATTTAAAAAGGAAATGAAAGACAAGCAACAAATCTGGGTAGTCCAGAGATTACATTCTTTATAGCTGGCCTGTTTCCACTCTGCAGATCTGGGTTTGACCCTGAATGGAACTCATGCCACATGACAAACCCTTCAAAAAGGAAACTCTACTTCATGAACCAGGAAAGAAAGATGTCCAACAGCCTGCCCTGTATGAGTCCTTTACATGATTATCTCAGAGTTTCATAATGTTATTTACAGGCATGTTTCCAAATATTTGGAAATGGCAGAAGAGAGCTGGGAGCAATCTTACCTGCCCCTATTATTATTATTTTTTTTAGTTTTTAGATATGTTCTTGACTTGAACACACAGAAATCTCCAAGTTTCAGTGATTCTAAAAGTCAGCCTATTTTATAACTTAGGCCAGATCATTTTTGAGAATTCAGATAGAGTTGGAACTTGTTAAAACAAAAATGAAAATAAACTCTAATTCTAGTCCTGATTAGATATTTAAAAAGTCAATCACGTCCTCCCGCTGCTTCAGCCTTCCAGGAATGAAGGGCCCTCAACTCCTTCATCTGTGGTCCAGCCCCTCCTCCCACTGCACAATGCCTGGACTTTTCCCCAGGATTTCATCTTCAGTTGTTAGCGATCCAACTTATGAAGCTTTATATAGCTGATTATCAAAAATCATACATTCACTTTTTCCTCCAAAGAATTAATATGAGGTTAAAAAAAATACCATCATTATCCCATGCTGCTTTAAATTATTTCATTTTTGACAAGAATAAAAACCAGCCTTTTATGCTCTTACCAAATATAGATTTAAAAGTTAACAAATATGAACATCAGACTATGAATGAGCAGCAGTATGTCTTTTGGAATATTTCATTGGTGAAGCATAGGCAAGCACAGTGCATGTATATAGTATGCACACATAAAGCATAATTTACTCTTCCTGCTTTCAGAACCTGCAACTTTACAATATATAAAATAGGTCAACAGTGACACTATGGAGGTGTAAGGAGAGCTCCTTGGCACTGGCATGACTAAAACCACTTTTTAGACTCTTAAAGATCACCCTTTCAGTGACAAAGACTCCAGAGTTATTGTTAGCTATTTTGTTTTCTACCCTGATTTCTAAAATGGCAGAACAATCCTATTAGTCCCCCCACCCCCCAAAAAAGATTAAGAAATCTCATCAGAGCTCTGTTAAAGATATATAAACAAAATGTGACACAATGAAGAAGCTGCATAAAAATACTTAAACCTAATGTATGTGTAGTATATAGGATATACCCTGGCTTACCATATAAAAGTCATCAGATATTAAATAGTACTAAATCCAAAACAAAGCAAGGAAATAAGATTTTATGTTGGATACTGTTTCAATAAGTTGCATTTCAAATATTAAAGGAAATCCTTCATGTTAGTAAGTTTAAAAATGCAAACATTTATCATATACATATACAAAATAAAGTTTTAGTATGATAAAACCTAGATTTTCTTAAATTATTCTTTAAAAGGACATCAAACTATATAATTGCTCAAGAGCAAAGTTTAGTGTTTTGGTAAGCTATAATCCATGTTACTTTTAGCAATTATAGCTCGTAACATGTATAGATAGCATTGTCCATTTTGCTCTTTCTTTTGGGACCATATCTAATCAATAGAATTGTTGGAGGCCCAGTAAGTTATCTCAGAATTGCCGGAATCAGGCAAATGGCAGTTTAGGAGCTTAAGTAAAGGAAATGTAGTGTTTTTTTTGTTTTGTTTTGTTTTGACAAGAGAAAATCCAGTATAATTGCACATTTACATACAGAGAGAGAGAGAGGGAGGGAGGGAGGGGGAGAGGAGAGGAGAAAGAGAGGCATGAAACAGTCTCTCTCTCTCTTTTTTTTTTTTCCAGAGAAGAGCTCTAAATTGATAAGGAAAAGGAACACATATAACACAACTGAAGGAATGTGGTAGAGGAGGGGTCCCCAACCCCCAGGCTGTGGACCAGTATGGGTCCCTGGCCTCTTAGGAACTGGGCTGCACAGCAGGAGGTAAGTGGTAGGCAAGTGAAGCTTCATCTGTATCTGCAGCTGCTCCGCAGCGCTAGCGTCACGGCCTCAGCTCCACCTCAGATCATCAGGTATTAGATTCTCATAGGAGCACCAGTCCTGGTGCCAAAAAGGTTGGGGACCGCTATGGTAGAACATCTATCTTCCCTACCTTCATAAGGTTACTAGGTACTTCTTCAGGGAAAATATATGCCACCAGGTACCAGCAATTGTAAGCAGTCCAAACTCACAGAGAAAGTTAACATTCACGCTAATTCTAAACTTCTACTTAGTACAGTGTTACAACACTGTCCAACATTACTAATTATTTCATACAAGGAATACTGGAATATACATATTCCTAAGCATTAAAAAGCAAGTGAGTGTTGTGGGCAGATATCTTGATATACGTGCATCTATGAGATACAAGCATCACAACCATTTTTGCTAACACTGCTTTCTTGGGAGCTTTCCCTAAGTAATTCCTAAGATGAAGTGTGTTTGTGTGGCTATTATATATCCTGTGGAAGTGTTTCCCCTTCCTCAATGGGGGCAATTTTAAGTATTAGATATCTAAGTAGAAACTGTTAACACATAACTTTGGGATGCCCCCCAAATTAGGAACTAAATAAAAAAGAACTATTCAAATACAATTCAAACTCATCTGAGTAGTTTTCACCAGTTAACATGATTATAGTCAGTTGACAAAGGGAATGTTTGATTAGGAGAGGAAAGCAGAGACAGAAAGTAAAATGCCCATAATAAATTCTCTCCAAGTAAGACCAGGGTCTACATTAAATTGGACAGAAAATGGTGCTTATATGGTCCAACTTTTGGTCCATGCCTTTCATCTCCCTGTGGCTGCCTTTATCAGCATCAAAACAGAATGATCATTCTGTGCATTCATATCCACATAAACACACTTCATCAAAAATACCCACTGTCAACGGAAAACATTTCAAACTCAGTTAAGTTTATCCATTTTTTTCTCCAAAACAAAAAACCAAAACCATAGTATGTAACTTTCTAGGTAAAGTTATTTCACAAAGCCCACCTGGTTTAAGACCACAGAGGTAAAATCCACTGAGGCATTTTGCTTTCAAGAGGCCAGATTCGATACTCCCATAGAACCCTTCTCTAAGACAATAAAAGACATTTTGAAGAGAAAGAGAAGTTAGCCTACCTACTGCTCAGTAAAGAGGTATATAAAGATCCTCATACCCTTTTCTAGAGGGCTTTCTCCAATTCCTATTTAAAATACACACATACACACTGATTAGACTATCTGAACTATACTTCTCAAAATTTTTAAAAATGAAAATAAATAAAGGAATGATGGCTACTTTTGCTTTTTACACCCAAGGAACACATCTTAGACTTTAAATTCATCTCATTAACAAAACTTTCTTTTCTCTTTGTTCTTATTTTAAAAGTGAAGACATCTCTTTTTCCAGCCGCAAAGGCATTGAAGCACAATAAAAGGCAAAAAAAGACCAAGGGAATTGAACCCTCCACAAAAGAACCCCCAAACCAACAAAACAGAAAAACCAGATACCACCAACTGCCTTGCAGGAACAAGTTCCCCATTTTCACTTTAATAAGGCAGTACTGATGGCAAAGGCTGTATGCACTGCAGCAGTCTCTCCTTTGATCAATGCATTATCTATTTACTTTTTGATTTTCCTTTTTTTTCATTTAAATAGGAAAAAAAGGAAATCACTGCCCATTTATTCTTTTACTTCTCCATGATCTTGTGATTCCAATTTACATTTGATCTTGCTCCAGTATTCTGATGACACAGGAGATATGGGGTCATGTTCGGAGCAGCAGAGACGGCCTTCCAGCGCAGAGGGAACCAGAGCCCCCTTTTCATGATCTTTACAAAAGGAACGTGGACAGAACTCACAGAAGGAAACGGCTGCACCGCTGCACTCGTTGCACTGATGCCACGGGCACTCCCACTTTCCTGATGGGGAGATGGAAAGAAGGAAAAGAGCCCCAGTTAGTGCCCATCCTGATTACCCACAGAAAACCCAAGTTCCCACCTTCGACTGAATACAACTCCAAATTTCAGCCAGATATAGGTATGGCTGGGTGTACTATTAAGTATGGATGTGAGATACTTTCCAAAGTACTCACCTATGGTAATAACAAAGAAGCAGCCAATCCTTGCTGGCTCACAGTATCCCAAATATGCAGAGAGACAGACTTTCACTAGGATGGTTTTGTTTGCTACGGTTGTTTGTTCTATTCAATGTTTCCTATCCCACGGCTCCACTAAGGATTGTGGGATACATTCTGAATTACACATAGTTGGCAAAAATGTAAGTCAGAGAAAGGGTCTTAAACTTCAGGCTTACCGTACGGTGGCTGAGTCAGATTAAGGCATAGGAGGTGGTATGCTTTGGGACAGTCCTTTTTGTCACACATGACCAGCTCTCCACCATCTCCACATTGAAAACAGTAATCTTCGTGCATCTGCTTTGGTTCTGTTTTGATTTTTCGTCTCTTCTGCTTTAACTTAGCATTTTTTGCCTTTTCTTCGGTTGCTGACACACATGCCGACTAGCAGAAAAGAAGGAACCACAGTGTTAACGATCAGAGTGTACAAAGCTTTACGTAGAAGGAAAATCCTACAACACATCCATTTAAATTCATCTCTTGTTCAATTAATTAAAAACACCAGGAAGACTTATCTCATAACAGTTCTATAATAAAAATAAGGCATCTTTTTCACTGACTTTTCAATAAGGTCTTTTTTTAAAATTGTAAAGACATTGAGATATAATTTACATTCCACAAAAATCACCATTTTAAAGTGTATGATACTGTGGTTTTTGGTATGTTGTGAATTTTTAAAAAAGTTTTCAAAAAGGATTTTGCTAATTTCAAAATCAATCAAAAATACAAATACATTTTCAGAACCTAACAGATCTTACTCAGATATGCTTTATTAGAAAGTCTAGAATTTGGGTAAACACAACTGATGATATGCAAACTAAACCAGGTACCCATTTGCCAGCATTTTCCTGAGCTAGTCAAAAACTTCGATAGCCCCACTCCTTATTCCCTGTTGGCTTAGGGCACCTCCCTGCACAACTGACCTTTGGCCGCACTCCAAGAAAACCACTGCAGTTATCTGCCCCACAGTGGCACTCTGTTCTGCCATTGCCCAGACAATCCAGGTTATAATTAAAAGTTAACTCCATCCCTAAAACATAAGAGAAATAATTATTCATACTCAACTCATAGGAAAGGAAATGCTGTTATAGACACACTCTCATAATGAAAATAGAGACATAATTCCAACATGAAGACTTATCCCTTCCGCATGTTCTACACTAAAGACAGTGATGGAAAAAGAAAAAGGAAAACAAAAAAGAAAAAAAAAAAAACAAACCCGGAGGAAAACATCCTCAAGCCACCAATAATTACAGCAAAAATAAATATTCTGTAAAACTTGTCATATCCTTTTCATTGAAGTGGTCAAAAACTGTGTAAGAGACTAAGAATCTGAAATCTATGCTTAAGACAAATGGGTTCTAGTTTAGTTCTCTTTTCTAAAGCTAATTTACACTAGTTTCTAAATAAACAATATGACCATGGAACTGTGATGACCATACTATTTCCAGGAATTTTTTTTTTGCCTTATATTATGATCAGAAAAGAGTTCAAAATGCAGGTTTACTAAATAATCAAAGATCCAGGGATTCAACGTGGGAGGCCCAGGCTTTCCATTAGCTGAGCTTGAACAATCCACAATGAGTCTAGAAACACAGTTTAAATCTCAGCTACAACATTTCTTTTCCTTTTCTTGCTCATTTCTTCTACAGATTTAACAAAGGAGAAACTAAATTCTGCTGTTAAGATGCTGGATGGGTAAGAAAATATGAAATCAATAACTCTGGCTTCAGAAGCTTATACTAATTTGAAACAGATTGCTCTTTCAAACAAAAACAACAACAAAAATCCCCCAAAACAAAGAAACCAGTTATGTTAACAGGCTTTTAATACTTAAAAAAAAAAAAAAAGACAAAGTGTAACCATATGATTATATTCTGTAGAAAGCAATATGATGAATTCATTCAGTAGGATCATGCACACAGAATTCTGTAATATCCTCTTGTGTAATGCAGGATATAGATTTTTACTTATTGGCAGATAACAATTCTAAATATAACTCTTTATCTTATTTGAATAAATATTTGAGCATCAAACTTTGAAGAATATCCTGCCTTCAAAGGATATACTTGGTTTCCTAGGGAGGTGGGACATGGGGAGTAAGTTACTTTTTTACCTGCAGGAATATCACAAAGAGCAAAAAGTCCAACTCGAACATCTCCATTCACTGTCCACTTTTGTGTTTCACAGTTTGGATTACAACTGTGGTTCATAAAGCGAGAATAATTTCCTTTTGGGCCAGCATCGATTATACGGTCCTTCAGAAAGAAAAGAAATAAAAGGCACCATTGACATTAAACTAAATATAAGCCTATCTTAGAAACATCTCTCAGTCAAGAGCCACAAGGCAGCAACATTTTGCCACCAGCTGATGTCTGATAACTGCCAAATCTGAAAATGTGGTGGACTGTGTGATTTACTACATGCTCTATTTTATTTGATGACCTTCAAGTCAAAGCAATCAAGATAAAGTGGAATTTAGTTTCTTTTTAAGTTTGTTTCTAGGAACGATCAGACCTTAGACTAATGCTTCTTAGAAGATTAGCTGGCCATAAGTTTAGGAAAGTTATTCCTGATTAGAAAGCTCTGAGTTCATATAGCTACTAGAGATGGGAACTATGGTGTTTTGCTGTTGGCCCTCCTTTCCTGCCCTGAGCAAGAAGCAAAACTAGTATGGGGTAGGTGGCTGAGAGCTCAGGCTATAAAGAGGAAGCAGGAAAAATTAGAAACCTCTCCTCTGAATGGAGATTTGATTGATGGAAGGGCTATAGTTTGGGATGTACTCTCTCGTAGTTATCTATTTGTTCTACTTTTACTTACACTGAAGTTCAAATATAGTAAAAGTCTCAGCATTTATCCCCCTAAATTTAAACTATGATAATCTGGATAAGCTCTAGAGGATGGAGCCTCCCAAGTGTTGTCAAGATGACAATGAAGATAGGATTTAAGAAGCCAATCAGCAATCATAAATAAAAGGCATTTTGTTTATGAAATATATGTTCATAAAAGTTGTAAAACTTTGAAACAATGACCTATCAGTTAAAATAATACTTTTAAACAATCTCTAGTTCTTACTTTTAATGATATACATATATCATATTAGGTGAGGCAACCCTTGGTTGACCTCACCGATTGCAAAGACCTTGTCAGCTTACAATCCCTTATTTTTTATTTTTCATGACTACAGCACCTGGTCTTCCTAGGTGGTCTCCCGTCCAAGTACTAACCAGGCCCGACCCTGCTTAGCTTCTGAGATCAGACGGGGTCAGGCTTGTTCAGGGTGGCATGGCCGTAGATTTTAATGATATTCTGATTCTCAGTTTTAGAGATAGCCTGGGACACAGGAAACATGGGTACTAATTTTGGCTCTTTGTTAAATTGTAAAAGATATTCAACAAATCACTTATAATGGTTAGACCTCAGTTTCTTGTCCTCTGTAAATCAGAGGGCTATTGAAGAAATTAAATGATAATGGATGTAATGTGCATCAAACCGGACTTAAAATTACATGTATTAACCTAGCAGTTTTACTGTCATTTTTCTTATGACAGCATTCATTTTTCCTAACTCATTAAATAAGTTTAAATATACAGAATATTTTTTAGAGTTAGAATTTTTTCTAACTCAGAACTTTAATGGTGGTTTATATCTTAGAATTACAGAGCTCATTTTCTCCTTCAGTGATAAAGAAACTGAGGGCCGAGTCTTTCAGTGACCAAGAAGAGCTGGTACTAAACCCAGATATGTTAACCCCATTCCTGATTATCTTTTGCACTCACAGTGCTGTCTCACATGACATGTGCAAAGCTTCAATAATCATTTTGTACTCTGGTATAATTAGCACATTATAGTGGGTAGCACAGTGGCTACTGCTAATCATTATACTTTGCCTGAAAAAAGTCAAATTAGAGGAAACTGAATTCAACCGAAGACTATGAAACAAAACAAAATATCCCTTTTTCTTACAAAAAAAAAAAGCAATTTTACCTTGGTAACAGTTAACATATAAAAATTAGTTACACTGTTCTCGTGGGCTCGCTTGATTCGCAATCTGCATTCTTCTTCATCAATTAATTCGCCAACATATTCATTTACAAATTCACCCTGCAGAGAAGCATGAAATATGTAAATGTGAAATCAGTTTACTATATTAGAAAGTATTCCTTAACACTACACCAATAATCCAAGAGAATTAACCAAAAAGAATCCTAGAACTATAACTTCAACCCTAGAAACAAATAGTTACTGTTATCTGTGGGTGTTCAGGTGGCACTATATTTCTTGTACCAGTGCCAAGAAATAATCTGCTTGTCTTTTTTTGCTGATAATTATTCCTATAGTCCAAATGGCACCATTATGGTATATCACTGGGATCTGGGGATAAGGCTATGTTGAGGCTTTGAAGCTGTATTTTAACAGAGTTTTACTAGTTTGTAGCTTTGGGGTAAGACCTGGCATAGATATGACTCAAACAAATGAGTTTTTTTCTTTTTGTTAACTTATTTTGAACTAATTACAGATATTCACAGGAAGTTGCAAAAATAATGCAGATAGGATCCATGTACCCTTCACTCGGTTTTCTCCAATGATAACATTTTACATAACTATAGTACAATATTAAAACCCGAAAACTGACTGGTACAATCTGTAAACCTTATTCAGATTCAACCAATTTATATACACTTATTTGTATGCGTGATATCTGTGTCTGTGTGTGTGTGGTTCTATGAAACCATCAGGTGTAGAATCATGTGATCACCACCACAATCAAGATAAAGAACTGTTCCACTGTCACAGAGATCTCTTGTGGTACTCCATTATAATCATAGCCATCCTCCATCTCTCCTCCACCCCATTTCATCCCTAATTTGTTCTCCATTTCATAATTTTGTCATCTTACGAATGTTTTATAAATGGAATCATAAAATATGTAATCTCTTGAGACTGACTTAAAAAAAATCCCAACAAACTCAGCCTGATTTCCTTGCAATCCATCCAAGTTGTCATGTATGTTAATAGTTTGTTCTTTTTCGAATTGCTGAGTAGTATTCCACAGTACGGATGTACCAATTTGTTTAACCATTCACCTTTTGGAGAACATCTGAATTGTCTCCAGATTTTCAGTATTATAAAGCTGCTATGAAAATTCTGGTAAAAGTTTTTATGCAGACATAGGTTTTCATTTCTCTAGGACAAATGGCCATGAGTGTAATTTGTTGGGTCATATGGTGGGTGAGTATATGTTTAATTGTTAAAGAAACTGCCAATTTATTTTCCAGTCCTTTCTTAAGAACATAGGACGGTTCTGCACATTCATGTACTATGCACTGTCAGCCTTAAATGCTTTTCCTACATCCAGTTGGGACTCTGACATCAGCTGATGAACATCATTTTGCACTATTATATGTATCATTGGCCACATGGTTAGATTTCATTGCCATCTTGGTTGCACTGTCACCTAGTGTTACGATACAGTAGTCTCTCCTTTATTCACAGGGGATATGCTCCAATACCCCCCCGTGGATACCTGAAATCGAGGATAACACTGAACCATATATATACATTTTTCTCTATACATACATACCTAAAGTTTAATTTATAAATTAAGCATAGGAAGATATTAACAACAATAAAAATAAAATAGAATTATTAAAATATACTGTAATAAGTTATGTGAATGTGGCCTCTCCCCCTCAAAATATCTCACTGTACTCTACTCACCCTTCTTGTGATGACGTGAAACGATAAAATGCCTTAAGTTGAGAACTTTCACCTTTTCACTTAAAGGCAACATTTTATTGCTTCTCTTTGACATATTTGAATTGCCAGCATTACTACTCTTGCACTTTGGGGACATTATTAAATAAAATAAGGGTTACTTGAACACAAGTACTGCGATGCCCAATCTGATAACCCAGATGGCTACTAAGTGACTAACTGGCAGGTTGTGTATACAGAATGGAGAAGGTGGACAAAGGGATAATTCACTTCCTAGGTGGAGTGGGATGCTGTGAGATTTCACGTTACTCAGAACAGCACTCAATTTTAAAACTTATGAATTGTTTATTTCTGGAAATCTTCCATTTAATATTTTTGGACTGCGGTTGACTGTGGGTAAATGAAACCATTGAAAAGGGGAAACTACTGTATTTAACTATTTTATGGCACATTTTCTTTAATGGAAACCTATAGAGCAGAATTTCAACCAGATCAGCTACATACTGGGATTCAAAGTAAGATTTCATTAGAAGAAATGGTTCTGTGGCTTTAAAAGCTTGAGAACCATTTATTATGGTTCATATTTAATATTCTATGAAAACGAGTGAATATATAAAAATTAAAGTGCTGATATCAAACACATCCAGTTGGGACTCTGACATCAGCTGATGAACATCATATCAAACACGAGGAGAACAAGTCTCATAAACTTGATGGCACTGTGAATATATATTTTAGATGTCCTAAGTGACATATATTTTGCCTCAAAGAGTTGATTACTGGATGAACTTAAAACCATTAACTGTGAATTTAATTGTGAACAAAAATAAATAAAGAACTTTAAAAATCTGTTAGAAATATGTCAAAGATTGTGGCAAAAAAGACAGTGTAATTCAGTATCCAATATACATATATTCTAATTTCTAAGAAAGAAACTTCATAACAGGAAGTGCCAGGTTTGACTCCTGTGGCATATATTTTCAGGAATTTCTTATGTGTGAAAAGAAGGGACTCATGGTGGACATTCAATCTCAAATATGGCTTCTGTCCCCTAAATGTACCAAAAATATTTTTCCATGGGTAGAATAGTCCTGATTATATTTTTTTCTCTCTTGATTACAGTTGACCCTTGAACAACACAGGTTTGAACAGCGCAGGTCCACGGATGTGGATTTTTTTCAATAAATATTCGGACTATTTTCCATCCACAGATGGGAGTTCATAGACATGAAGGGCTGATTGTATGTATGTACTGATGTATACCATTTTATATAGGGAACTTGAATATCCTCAGATTTTAGTGTCCATGGGGCATGGTTGGGCGGGTATCGTGGAAACAATCCCCTGCGGCAAAAGTTAAGTTTCGGGGGAGTCAAAAGTTACATGTGAATTTTCGACTGTGTGGAGGGTTAGCATCCTTACCTCCTGCGGTGTTCAAAGGTCAACTGTGTATCATAATATATTAGAATATGTCCTAGAATAAATGCAACTACTATTAAGATATTAAACTAAACTAAACAGTTTTCAAGATGGCTCCAAACACTCCCCTGAAATCATAGGCAAAAATTTTAAGCATGATGTATATGACATTAAATATAGCAAATTCTATTGGCTCTACCTTCAAAATGTCAGAAATCCAACCACTTCTCTCCTGTCCAACAACCCTAGTAGTAGTCTATACCACCAACATACCTCTCCTGGATTATAATGGTCTCCTTTTTATCACTCTTTCTCCATTATCATAAATTCTCCATAAATACTACAGCCAAAGTTATTCTTTTGAAACCCAAGTGTGGCAGACAGACTCTTAATGTGACCCCCATGATCCCTGCCTCCTGGTGTTCATGCGGTTGTATGATCCTCTCTCCTTGAGTTTGACCTGTGAACTTTCTTCTAACAGAATATAACAAAGGTGATAGGATGTATGTATTTACATGAGTTTGTTACATTAAGACTTTATCATCCATCTTGCTGGAGTGTCTCTCTCCCTTGTTGGCTGTAAGGAAGAAAATAGTCATGTTGGGCAACCCCATTAGGCAAGGAATTGCGGGAAGACTCTAGAAGCCAAGAGCGGCAAAACAACAAACAAAATAAAAAAAACACCTGAAGCTCTCAGACGTACAGCCTCAGACCTATAGCTGCAAAGAACAGAATTCTGCCAATGGCCATGCAAGCAGGGAAGCGGATCCTTCCTTAGTTGAGGCACAAGAATGAGAAACCAGCCCTGATCAGCACCTCGAATGCAACCTTGTGAGAGGACCCAGCTGAGCATTTCCCAGACTCTTGACCCATAGAAACTGTGAGGTAATAAAATGTGTGTTATGTTTTCAGCTGCCAAGTTTGTGGTAATATTGTTATGCAGCAGTAGAAAACAAGTCACTTCCTACCAAAATGCGCTAGAAATTTCTCATCCTGGGGTCTATAAGGCCCCATATAATTTAGCCCTTGGCTACCTATCTCTTCTTATCTCTTACCTACCACTCCTCTCCTTGTCACTTTTCTTCAGGTACACTAGCTTTCTTGCCATTCCTGGACCACGCTAAGGCCTTTGTGTTTGTTTTTTCTTCAGTCTGAAATGCTCACCATGGCTTTCTCCCTCACACATTCAGGTCGAATGTCATTTCCTCAGGTCTTCCTTAACCAATCTTTTTAAAATAGTAACCCCGGTCACCGGCTTTAATTTTCTTTGCAGCATTTAGTGGTACTCAACATTATATACTTGTTTATCATCTGTCTCTAGCAGACCCACAAAAGTGTCTTGTTCACTATTGTTTTCCAAGTGCCTAGAATAGTACCTGGTACATAGATGCTTAACAAATATGTGCTGAATGCATTTCACCTCAAGCAATCTAACCCAAAGAAACAGGTGCATGAAGATAGAGGACTAAGAATGTTCACATAGAAACACACACACACACACACACACACACACGTGTGTGTGTGTGTGTGTGTATTTTTTTTTTTTGGAAAATAGGTTAAAAAAAACTAAAGTATACAATTTGGTACATTTTACTATGTAATACAATGAGACTGTTAAAAAGAATGAGGTGAAATCTGTATGTACTGCCAGAAAGATATATTTATGATATATTAAGTGGGAGGGAAAAGAATATATTTGTTTTAAAAACTCTACAAATATAAAATATATGAATATGTATTTGTATATGCATTTATGTTTTAACTGTATAGAAAAAGTTCCAAACAGCTACATTGTAACCTATTAACAATGGTCATCTCTGGTGAGGAGACCAAGAATTAAAGGGATCAAGAAAGAATTTCACTCTTTATTATCTTTTTTGTATTGCTTTATTTTCTTTAACCACAAAGGTGATTTTTAAAAAGGTAGAAATATGTCGAGAGTAATTTAAAATTTTCTACGTCCATTTTCTCTCAATGAATATACATCTCCAAGTTCTGTATACTGGCACTGGGCAAACAGGGGGAGGAGGTTAAAGTGGGGGCAGGGCAGGGGACTTGTTTAAAAATGCAGATTATTCTATCCCAGATATTTCAGTAAGATACTTTTTAACAAGGACTCCTAGAGAGTCTAAGGATCTCTAAAGTTTGTTTAAATAGCCACTGTTTAAATAGTAGGATTTTCATTTTTGCATTATTTGCATTAAAAGTTTTTTCTGCAATGAGCATGTATTTCTTGTGTTAAACAGACCCCTTTGAAAAACTGCCTCAAAGTATAAGGATGAAGATAAAGTGTTAAAGATCTCAACTTTTTACAGTTGCTTTTGGAAATATAATCTAATCTGAGACTAGCAACAATCTTAAATATGTAGGGCAGGAATTACTATATCCATTTTAGAGATGAGGAAACAGGCTCAGGGAGGTTAACTGACTTGGCCATGGTTTCATAGCTAATGAATTATGATGTTTGGAGCAAAGTCCTGGGTTTGCTAGTTTCTATCTCAGTACATTCTTAATTTTACTATTTTGCCTTTACTAAGTCTTTTAAATTTTGTTTAACAAGTAAAATACTTCAAACAGAAAATGACCAAAGTTCCTTCTCCTTTTTTTTATGACTGAACATAAGACAAAGTTTATATGAATTTTATTATTACCTCTTCTTACCACTTCTTCTTGGCTTAAGAAGTGCCAGACTCTCAGCCTGGAAGTTTTCAGATTCTGCCATAAATCCCTATATATTTTGTCCCTCCTGAAGCATCACTAAGAGGCATAGGTCCCGGTCTATTCTAGCCCACCACTGCCCCCATCCCATGCTACCTTCTTAATGCTCCTTTTGGTCCTGAGGCCCCAGCCTCTTCGCTCCGTTTTGATGATTTCTGCATCAGGGTAGAGCCTCTTTGTAAAGCACTGGTTCTGGCAACGATCTCCAGCTGGGCACACCTGCGGGTGACACTCATACTGCAACATTCTGTTCAGGCACTCTGATTCTAGGCCGCAAGGGTTTTCATCAGCTGGCTTGCAGTTACAGCGGGGAATCTCTGACAGGTCTGCAACCTGGATCTGCACCTTTCCTATTACTTTGTTAGCCTAGAAAACAAAATCACAAATAAGAGGGAGGAATTTGAACAGGAACATCAGAAACATCCATGCTGTTCTTGGCTCTGCTCCTGCCTTGTGGTGTGACTCTGAGAAAGGCACTTTATCTTAATTATAATTTCCCCAAGAATAAGCTAAGAATAAGAACTGCCTCTCTTTACTTGACAAAAATATCAAAACCTGATATGAATTCCCACTTATTTATCCTGTGTATTTCTCCTACTAGTTGATGGAAATTTCATAACTGAAAATAACTGGGCTGTTTGGAAGAAAGAGGCTAACTATTCCTATTCTCATTTGGTTTTCAGGATAACCTGATAGAGCAAAAACAGGATTTTTCCATCAAACATGTTGCTCCTAGGTATGAGAGGGCTTATCAAAGACCTCATCCTCACAGTATGCATGCAGCTCCAGGTCCCATTTGACCCTTCCAACAAAAGCTCTGTTTTATAGAGGATTGGGTGATAATTTGCAAAAGTTTTCACAAGTTTGAAAGGGTCTTCTAACTGAGAGTACTACATTTCATCTTGCCTGTCAAATACCAGTGTTTTCATGGGTAAAAACTCACTTTGATGTGTTTGTAAGGAGGAGGTTTTCTTGAATTTTTTTCAATCTCTAGTGCTTCTTTACTTTCTCTTTGTGCTTTCAATTCCTGGAAACGTTTTGCAGCTTCTTCCAGTGCTGCCAATAAGACCAAACAAGTATATAATTACCAAAAAACAAACAAAAACCGTTAGAAGAGTAGTTTTACAGTTTCCTTCCTAATGTACTGAATCTGGCCTGAGGTTTTCTTTTTAAAATTATATTCTGGAAATAACCATTTACCACTAGGGTAGGGTAACATTGAAATAGGATATGACTCATTTATGGCTGAACACTGCTCTGTGCAAACTGCTGCCTCAGAGAAGAGGTCCTACTTCAATGATTAGAGGTTTCCAAGTGAACCCAAGAGAAACTTTACCTTGTACTAGATTCACATTCATTTTACTCTTACCCAGAAAGCCAAACTTTCTGGTAACTTGTTGCAAAAACAATTGTAAGGCTCTTCGTGGAAAGCTTTTACTACTCTTCTGTGGTTAAGGAGCTTCACTTGATTAAGACTATTCCCAGAAAAATCTATTTGCAGAAAGATCACTGAAGAAACTCCTTTCACATACACAGCAGAGCCTACTATACTGAAATGTATTTTTCTAATGACTGGATTTTGATATGGTTCTAATGGGATTAGAAATTTGTGGACACTGGGTCATAACACCTGGTGAAAATTCTCTAATATCAGACACATGTCATATGCACGTTAGGAGATGCTGAGAAATCAACACTGGAGTCTTAGTTCTGAGCCACTGTAAACATGATACAACTTACCTTTTTTGAAGGTCTTGTTAATACTAGTCTGTCCCTCAGCAAAGCTTTTGTCTCCTTCAACATAAGGGAACACTCTGCCCTGGTGTACCCAATAGTAGTCATGAGAACCAAAGAAGAACACAGGGAAGTCCCCCAAGTCATGCTTAAGACTTTGGATGTTCAGTGGCACAGACCTGGGGTTGCAGATCTCTGCTGGCCACCATCTGAAAACAAAAGCAATTTTAGACCAAAAGGATGAAAATCATACCACTTTTTACATGGCTGGCAGCAGGGAAAAAAAGGTTTTGTACTTTGCAATTTTCATTCAGATTCTAAGGACACAATATATCTTATCTTTTATCCTGCCCAACCCAAATATCATTTAAAAACATATTGATTAACATACTTAATGAAACTGTGAACATAACGCTAAACAAACTAGGCCCTAAACACCCAATCTAGTTTCTTTCTTTAAAATTACTATTTGTAATTTGTAAAAGAATATATATCATGAAAATGTAAGCTATAAAGCATAATAATAAAATAACAATGAACCTGCTACCCAACTTAAGAATTAGAATTTGCTAATACTATTCCAAATCCAGTTTAAATTCTAGAAAAGTCATGTTTCTCTCCAAACTTGGCTTTCTTAAAATCAACATTGTTTTTCAATGTGTAAAAGCTTATTTCTTGTAGACAAGGTAATCATTTAAGAATAAACTGATGCTACAGTGAAGAATGACCACTCTCATTCAAATAAGCATTTTCTGACTCTCTAATCAACCAGGGTAAATACTTTTTGGTCAACTGTACTAGGTTTACATCAGAGTGTATTTCAGAATCTAATTCATCTTAGATCATTATAAACATGGGCTGTGGGATAGAATGAAACATGACTGTTTCATGCAATGGTGACCGAACACCACAGCAATCACTAAATAAAACCATCTGAGAGGCACATTTGACAGTTTCCAGCAATTGGGCAAGTCAGGAATTGAAGGGAAATCTTTCGTAGTATGTAAAATCATCAATATGAACAGTAAATACATAAAAACTTAAAATTGTTCACTCATTTTACAGATGCCTAATAAAATCATTTATTTAATGAATAATTATATTATTTGGAAGATAAATGATAGCAAGGTCACACTCCAGAGTTATAGTACAGAACTTGAATATTGTTCATCTAAAAGGTACCTCTGTCCAAAACGTGGGTAAGAGTCTGTGTTCAAACAAAACAAAACAAAACAACACTATTTTGTGTAATCAGTATTTGGTTTCCTCTCAAAGTAGGCTAGGAAATGGTTATTTCTAAATCATTTTAAGGTACTGAAGTATGTACATGATAACTGCATTCACTGAGTTAGGAAGAGGCACACTTTCTGCCAGGGGATTTTCCAGGTCCTCATATTTCCCCCAGGAAGCTCCACATTGGAATTAGTTATTAAAAAGAAACAGCTTCATGTGGCCCAGCTGGGCCTGACTGGAAAAAAATACATTAAGAATTAGTTCATGGATGGAAGTCTTTGCAAAACTTACAAGAAGCATCAGACCTGCATATAAAATCTCATTGGGTTGTGAAATAGAGAACTGCTTTGTGCTTCATTAAAATGCAATATGATTAAAATTAAGAAAAATATATTTTTATATTCATAACTTATAAAAAAGGCAATGTAATATACAACATAATGACTATAATTAATATTATATATTTAAAAGTTTCTGAGAGTAGATCTTAAAAGTTCTTATTACGAGAAATGAAAATTGTTTAAACTAGACTAACTGTGATCATTTTGCAATATACACAAATATTGAATTATGTGTACACATGAAACTAATGTTATGTCAACTATGGTACAAAAAAAAGCCAAAAAGAAAAAAAAAGAAAATGTTCTAAAATTTGTTTGAAGATTTGAAAACTTCTTCTACTGTTTTAAATATTTCTTATCCAAGGACTGTCTTACCCATTAATTGTCAAACTCATATCCCTCTCCACCCTCAAAGATATATATTTTAAATTAAAAAGCAGTGTCTGTTTCTTTGAAAATTAAAACAATGCAGAAATGTAAAACAGAAAAACTGAAAATGCCTCCCTTTGTATCTCATGCCTCAGACTATTAACATTAGATCTATTTCTTTCCAGGTATTAAAAACATATTATATACATCTATAATTTTAAAAAATTATATAAACACATAAAAGACAACATATGTACTGTTTAATATGCTTCCTAAATTCAAATCTTTCCACGTTACTATACAGACCTGCATTATTCTTTTATTGGCTTTGAGGTATTCTACAATACGGATATAATTTATTTGACAAATCTCCTACTGACTGAGCATTTGAGTTATTTTACATATTTGCAATTAGAAATAATATAGCAATGAACACCCCTATAAATACAGTTTTGCCTTCTTGTCCAGTATTTCCTTAAATTCCTTGAAAGAGATGTACTGGGTCAAGGGGGTATACCTGGTTACAATTTTAATATGTGATGCCAAACAGCCTTACAAGGAAGACCAGTTTCCCTACGCCCTCCCTAGCCACAAAATCATCAGTTTTACATCTTTGCCAATCTGTTAATTAGAAAAGAAAAACTCTTTGGTTTTAATGTACATTAATTTTTAGTGAGGCAGGGCATTTTTTACATGTTTATTTTCTATTTGCTATTCTTTTGCAAACTGGCTCTTTTCTTTGTTCCTTTTCTAGGTAAGGTATTTATCTTTTCTTATTAAAAGTAGGAGAGCAAACACTTTCCCTAGGTTTGACATTTGCCTTTTAAAACTTTATGATATTGTTTGATATACAGTATAAAATTGTTTATGTATTCAAATGGTCAATTTTTTTTAGGACTTGGAGATTTCCTGTCATGTTGAAAAATATAGTGTGGGAGGGTGGCTTCTCAACCTCAATGCCACTATCTCAGCTAACAATGAAGTAAACAAGCAGCATATTCAAAACACAGAAAACAAAATAGTCCTTGCTAAAAAAAATACAATGTTTAAAATTCTATAGAAATATAGTATACTTAGGATTCTAGTTGAAAAGCAGAACTCTATTGTGCTCTTTTGAATAGTATTTATTTTCTTAGTAACATGATAAATGTATGCCTCAAAATGTAGAACAGTTTAAAAAATGTATTGCTATTCCTGTTCAGTGAAGGATTGTTAAAAATGGCTTCTTAAAAAGAGAAAGTTTTATTATAATAATGGCAATCACACATACTTCTTACTTCATTCCCTTAAGAACTAAAGGCTCTTAATGAAATAATCTCTCTTCATCCTAAAAAGCTCTCTTTTTGCACACAGTTTATAGCTTCTAGCTTGAACTAAAATGGACCAGAGTTAGGGGCAAAGAGAGAGCCACTTTGGCCATGAAATAAACTGTGATTTTATTAGAAATCAGAAATCAATATAAATCTAATTAGGACACAAAGGAAACATCTTCCCCACTATCCACATAAGACCTTTTATTCCATAATTTAGTAGTACATAGTCACTAGTATAAAACAACTTTCAGAACTTAAAAAGTCAACTAACAAATAAAAAAAAAAAAAATCCAACAATTAACCTTCCCAATTCTCTGAAAATGCAAACTCAAAATATGTTTCTTTTCTCTCTCTTTTTTAAGGAAACAGCTTAGTGCTGTTCTACCAATCTCCTAGCCACTTTGTATATAGTTTATGAACCTGTGTCTTACAATGGTTGAATACTTCCTCTTTGCCCTTGGAAAAACTTGCCTGTAATTTCCCAATTTGACCCAAACAATCTGCTTGTAATGTAGTTTCTTGCCAGCTTTACAGTCATTACAATTCCAGCAGCCTTCTGGCATTTCTATGCTCAGGCATTCCGGGTGGAAGGAAGCTGGGCACGATTCACAGCAGAGCAATCTTCCACCTTGAAACAAATAAACAGTCTTAATAACTGAGAAAAGAGGAAAGAAAGAAAAAGGAGAAAGTTATCTTTTAAGTGCATTAAATTTGATTCAAATCGGAGAAAAATAACAAAGGGACTGAGTCATACCTATGGTGATGGATTAAAATAGAAAGCAAGTGAACAGATTCAGTTATTCCCTTTTCAGGGCTTTAGTGGCCAGAGAAATTCAGGGCTTTTGAGTAGTAAGAGAAACATTACTATACTCTTTACTTCTCTAAAATGTGGGCTATTGAGGTATCAGTTTAATAGGCAGCTAAAATTCTTAACATATGACAAATCAGATCCACAAAATCTTTAGGCGGAGTAGATTTGAGAGCAGATTTTCAAAGAAATATGTAGCAACTTACTTTCTTTTCTCTTTGAGAGCTAAGAAAGAAAGCAATGGTCATCTTTGTATTTTAATCCAGTGCCACAGTTAACTAAATCCCTCTATAATAAAATTAGCAAGAATGAAAATAGCCAACAGGTTGATCAGTACTTTTTTCTTCCCATAAAAGCATACTAAAAAGTAAAAGGATAATACTTATTCAAGTTGATTACATTATCATTACCTTTTCAGTGAAGATAAAGTCAAACAGGCTATACAGCAGTGGTTTGCAACATTTTCATCACCAAGGATCCCCTTGCCTTTCCTCATGGACCCATGTGTTTTCAAATATTTTGTCAACCCAAAACAAAAACAAAAACAAAGAAACAAAAAATCCCCCCAAAAAACAAAAACCCAAAACCAAAACTTCTGCATTTTAAAAGTATCATTTTCCTGTTCTAATTAATCAAAGAAATATATAACTGCCAATCAGAGCTTCTGAATCCAATAACAAAACTAGTATTATCACACTGAATTGTTAAAATCATAGCCAAATATAAAGAAACTCATGCAGCTTTAGTTTGCATAAATGTGTGTTTGCTAGATTTTCTGAAATATAAAACATAATTCAAAAATTTTGTTTACATGAGTCTTTTCTGACTTCATATTGAGAACCACTGCTTTATAGCATACAGCTAAGTAAATACCAGTGTAGAAAGAAGTACCACACGCAAGGAGATCCCTCTAACTTCCCTACAGCAAAATCCTCTCTTTTTAAATACATAAAATGACCTATGGATTAAGACCAAAACAGGTGCAGCAAACGAAACAAAACAATATTATTTAATGTAAAGAAATGAAAGATTTTGGGGGTAGATTAGGTATTTCTAATAGGTATTTCAACAAGTGACAGAGAAGGATGTTAACCACTGGAGATGAAATATAATAAAGACAGTCACTGAAAAAAATAAATTCATCTTCCCATGGAAAATCACGTCTATAACCCATGAGCGCACTGAGATTTCAAGTCTCGTAAGCAAAGGTTAGGAGCCCTCTAGATAACATTATCAAATCACATGCTCCAACCATTTGAGGGTTTGCTATCAATATTCCCAAAAATCTTGTCTTCCTGTAGACTTTCAAACTTCTGATTAACATAAAAACGAAAAGAAAATCCATATACAATCAGTGATGAATTAAATTTACTATATTTCCTCTGCTTAAAAACTTTTGCTTCAATCATTGGGATTTTTTCTTTTGTCTACAGATCTCAATATGGATTAATGGTTCCAATTCTCCAACCTAGAGATTAGCTGCCTGAGTGCTCTTAACCTAGGTAGGGAATTCTTCCAAAGGTTTAAACTAAAATGAGATAATTCATTTTTTTAACAGAAAAGAATGACCAGTAGGGAGAGCAGTCTTTGCAAACAGCTTAGGGGACATGTGATTATTAGAGTTGATATAGGAAAGACAAGCTCGTCATTTTAACGTTATGGACTAGTCCTTAATTTTAAGTCTTATTTCAGAGGAAATACAGACCCAGAATCATCAGTGAAAATCATCATGATTTTTTGACAAAAAATACACAAGAGAAATAGAAAAATAAAAAATATGAACAATCCACCTTGGTGCTATGCAAGAAAACTGCTTTAGGATGCAAGAGAAGATATGGTTCAAGCTAAGCAAACAGAGGGCTCAAAATAATTTCAATTTATGTCAAGATCAATACTGAGTACTGAAAACAAAGTAAGCAACAATTGGATTGATCTAATTTTATCAAGATGCCAGCAAAAGAATAATAAAATGCCTTGGGTAGTCTAATTTTACTGCATTATGGAGTTATAGTCAGACCTCAGTTCATCTTTGTTTTGGAAGTAGGTGGTGTCACCAGTAAGGTGACATACTGTGACTTCAATGGAAAACAAAAACCCAATGTCCTTCTCCATAGGTTCTAATCAGCTTGCTTACACTTTGGGTTGCCACTTAAGAATTTTGACAAAGAGCAAAGATACATCAAGCAGGCAACACAGAGAATGGAAAAAAAAAAAAAAAAAAAAAAAAAAAAAATATCGCCTCCAGGAGATATCTCTCAGTACCAAAGAAAAAAAAAAAAAAAAAGAAGCCCATTTCAAATATACCTAGTATATTAGGTATGAATTTTCTTTAAAGAATCTGAACTTGGCCCCCAGATCATAATGGGAATGTATACAGAAAAAGGCCTTCACCTTCCAGGTTATTTCACCCGCTGAGATAGCAACTCCCCAAATACCACATTATTGTTAAACCATTTTTTCCTTTATTACAAGTAGACTATATAAAGCTAAATAAAAGATTTTCTTCCATAGGAGAATATAAATATATGTTTAGTCCCTGGTTCTCTGTGGTTAAATTATCCATAAGCAATTCTTCAGTTCAGCTGGGCTGCCTTGCAATATCCAGTATTTGGGGTATCCTCCTCAGCTGCCCACAAATGCCTCCTAAGAGAAGGGCAACTAGTTTTCATAGTATCTTAACAAAAACATTTAAAATAAAATGATAGAATGTATTCTAAAATCAAATCTTTAAGTATCGATATCTTGGTTTCCCTTTATTTAATAACCTATTTTGTTATTTAGTTGAAAGTTATTAACAAGTTATGTCCATTCTATTCTAACGTGAATGGTAGTTCTACATCAGGCAAAAGAGAAAGAGCCCTTAGAATATTCCTCTATATTAAGCAAAATCCTAGTCTTTCAATTTTAATAACCCATAGGTATAAGGAATGTTGAAAACGTATTCAAGAAGAGTAAGCAAAATTTTGTAATAAATGGAATTATTTTAAGCCCTTTTTAAAAATTTTACAGCCATATAAAGACATAGTCACAACCACCAAGGCAGAATTTACCAAAAGCAACAGATGGTGCTTGACAGGCATACATTTCCCCCCTTCATTTAAAAAGAAAAAAATAGGAAATGCAAAAATAAAAGCAAGAGATAAACTATTTTGATTATTACCTTTCTCACATTTCTTTTTGGAAGCTGACGAAGAAGGAATCATAGGTAATTTCATCAACTCTGCACGATTTGATTCATTCAGTAGGTAGTGGGACTTATAGGCATATGAACTGAACATGGGGTCTGAATGGTCCTGAACTATCAGCCCTATACGAAACAAACAGAAAGAGATGAGCTGCAATGAAACTACCCATGATTCCATGAGGAAAAAAAAAATAAACCAACACCTATTATGTAGCTGTGAATAAAGTTGGGGGTTGGGGGGAAGAGTAAGAAGAAAAAGATCTGACAGAAAAGTATTTTCTATAGTTATTATAGGGAATTTAAGCTACTTAATGCCTTAATCCCTATATAGAAACCTGTATACCCGAAGAAAACTCTAAATTAATTTGAAGATGTAAACTGCATTTGACATCACACTGAAAACTACCTATGGAAAACAAAGCTATAGTCTTTAATATTTAGAAGAATTATGATGACAATCCAGAGAACAAAATAATGTATCACTTAATTGCTAGAAATAAGAATTATTTATATAACATAGTAGAGACCCTGATCTACCCTCAATGTATCAAGTAGTACATAAAGGCAGAATTGAGTCTCTCCTCTATTCATATCTTGAGATATACTCAAATAGATTCTAGCTTTCTCTGCCACATAATGAAGCTTTTCTCTACCAAGACGATACATGATTTTAAAGGAGGGGCCAAAATTTGTTAAACTTTACTGAGGAAATGCAAACCATTAAAACTTTATTTTTTGCTATCATATAAACTGATTACCAACTTTAAGGTAAAAAAAGTCCTTTTGATCTACCAATACAGCCATCATATTTGGAAGAAAACATAAGATCTGCTCTAATCCACCTGTGACACCCACTTGTCTCACTCCCATCCCACTTCTCCTAGTTAAGTTCATAAAATAGCTACAGGCCACTCATAAACCTTAGGGAACTGTGAGACCAGGGAAAATTTCTCTATTTGGTTACTGTTAAGTTTATAATAATCTAGGGTATTACAATACAAATCTTGATAGAAGTTTCAGAGATCATTTTGAGAAGAGGGAAGAGTTTTAGTTTTTAAAGGGGTTAGCATTTACTTTTTTCTGTGGATATTACCTTCACTTGTTGCTACCCCACACTAAGATTCAAGAAATCTCTCTGATCCAGATGATAGACTGGAACTTGAAATTGTTAATTGGTAATAACATAAGAATCTTCGAATAAAAGTTATATAATGTCAAATGAATTTCATACACATAAAAGAGAAGTAGTATAGTATAAAAAACATAGGTTTTGCAATAAGAAAGATCAGGTACAAATGCTGGTCCCTCTATTTAACAACCTGTGTAACCTCCAGGTAAATTTTTAAATCTGGGCTTCAGTGTTCTCATCCATATAAAACAGGGAAATGACTTTTTGGGGTAATTGTGGCAATTTATTCAGATAGTGTCTAAGAGTTTGATTTACAGATGAAAAATAAATCGCTATTATTATTATTAAAATGAAAAGCAAACCTTAATTTAACATCTCCATTTAAAATTATCATTACAGAGAAAGGCACAGAATGTTAAGTAACTTTTATTTTACATCACTCTCCCGATTAAAGGAAATACTAAAGAATATATACTACACTGAAATATGACTGAACATTCCTATGGCACTATGGGGGGGCAGAGGAGGAACAATGTTCCTCTAAACCTTGAAATATTTCTAAAAATACTAAATATTTCAGTCCTTAAGAATCAGCTTATTGATTTTAAAGAACCTAGAACTGAGAAAAATCCTCTATGAGGAGGGAAAACTGTATGAGGCAAGAAACAAAAACAAAACAAGCTAAGTTTTCTAATACCAAAACATTAATGATTAAATGATCCCTTTTTTATAAAGTGTGGATTTATTACAATTAGGTCTCTAAAAAAAGAGACCGCTATAAATACTGATAAAAGAACACATATTATTTACTTCTAAAAAAACTTTTGACTTAAGCCTTCCCAAATCCCAACATCTAATCTATTGAGAATAAATTTCTGTAAAATGCTAGAAAGGAAAATGAAAGTTTCACTGTGGACAAAGTTTCACAGTGAAAATAATTTGGATATTAAATAATCTTGCTTACAGAGGCATTTAAATACAGTAAATCTTTAGAACTGCCAAACTGATAAGATGCAAATATAGATCTTGTTGTAGAAAAAGTTTTCCCCTTATTTCCATTCTCTCAAGCATTTAATCAATACATATAAAAACAAACAACAAAATGGCTAGTTTCTATAAAACTATGTTCCTTGACAATGGGCCATTTTTTATCTATATTAAACTGAAAATAACTGTTTTAAAGGTCTCTCAATTACTGAGTGAAATACAGCAAAAGAAAATATTGGTTAATATACTAATGGTACTTGATTCCAATGTACTCCAAAGTCAGTCAACATAACAGTTATAAACCTGATATTTAAAATGTTGGCTCAGTTATTCATGTGTGCATGCACACACAAACACACACACCTAGTAAAAGTGTTCAGAATGGTAGAATAAAATATTTACAAAGTGATAGAGATTTTATGTTATTACTGACACTCATCTGTTTAAGTCTCTAAAGCTAGCCACTTAATTGATAATTCAGTATTTCCATCCTATCATTACTTTCTTAGAGATGAGATGGAGAAGACGCTAGTGGTAACTATTTTAATCCTTTCAGTAACCTGTTACAATGTGACAAAACATTTCAGACCTACTTCTCCATGTACCAGCCACGTTTCACAGTAGAATACAGTTTTATAATTGTTCTGTTAAAGAAAGACACAATGCTTCCCCTCTAATGGCAGACAACCCCACGTGCTTACAAAATTCTGGCATACTGAAAGCAGTATATACAAGGGACCCAGCCGACTGCTACAGAAAAGACTATCTTTATTTAATCTTTTACTCTCTACCACCTCTAGTTATCTTTTTTAAAATAAAAGATACAAAAGCAAAACAACTCAAGTTCTATCATACTACCTAAATTCTATTAAAAAATACTTTATAGTACACATTTACCAAATTAAACTATCTCCTAAAGCAAAAATAAAGCAAAAACAAACCCAAAATCTCACCATTAGGATTGTATAAATGTAATCTAACAGGCCTGATATGCTAGAGTCCCTTCAAATATTTCACATTAAGGGAAGTTCAGAAAACCTAGCACTTAGAATAAAAAAGAAAACCCAAACTGCATTTGGGATATTAGTTGGTTTCTAAAATGCTTACTAAATACTAAAAATGGTTTTATTATAATACAGCTGAGATACTCTATAAAGATGGATACTTTATCATATTCATCTAAAAAAGTTCTATTTTGTATTTATCATGAACTCAAGTTTACTGACCCCCTCAGGGACATAGTATTGTTTTTAGTTGATCAATCTCTTGGCATATTTAAATATCAACAACTGGCGAGTAAGAAAGCCTGCATTGCTAGCTTTTAACTAACACCACCACATATGTTGCCTTGGCTATATCCCATCTGGCATTCCTCAATGCCAGACCAAAACATGATAAAATACAACATAAACGATGAAATAATAAATGTGCTCGTCTTGCCTTCCAGGTGAAATCTCAAGCAGCTGCAAGCTCTGGATTAAAGAATATGACATGGAAAGAGTTTGATTCAAATAAAAGACTTGTTTGCAGAAGGAAATAGGTTAATCTTTTGATGCTCCAAATAGAAATGCTAAGAACTTATCTTTAATTCTAAGTTATTAAAAAATGTAGATTTTTAGCTTAATTTATGAAAGAATATTCTGATAATTTGAACGTCTAATGTTATAAAAGGGACTAGTTACTGAAAGTGTTAATTCTCTCAGGGATATTACTGAAAGTCTATTTTAATGGGGAAATATGCCAATGAACTCAGAAAAAAATAGAAAGGACTGACACTCACCTCTTGCACAAACGAAACAAAAGCCTACATTAACAGCAGAGGACGAATTACTGCTCCGTTTGGAATGATTACTACAGATGAGAACGTAGGAAGACACAAATATGCTTCCGGCAGCAATACAAGCATCCCCAGAGTGATAGGCTACTGGACATCTCAAACATCTCATCATGCGACCTGTTTAAAGATAAGTCAAAAAGGAAGCTATATAATAAAGTATCAGTTGAATAAATAAAATGAGATTTTTGGATTTGCTCTTTTGGGTTCCCATATGATGCTGGTTATGGTAAGATGAAGATATTTTTCTAGTTTGGCTTTGTCATTCCTAAGCTTTATGTCTCTTAAATGCAACACACATCTAGAGATAAAGAAAACTTTGTCTGCTTCAATGCTGGAGAGACGGTGGTCTCCAGAATGGCACCTGTTTAAGGAATTTTCAAGGGTAATATTGAACATATGGAATTTTCTTCTCATGGTCAAATCAGAACTTAATCTCTACTTACTATGCTATCGATTGTAGCTGAGCTCTTATATCCACAGATAAACAGAGAATGCCCAATGTTCTTTAAAATAATATGCTTCTTATTTGCTACTGAACTTAAAAAAAAAAAAAAAAAGTCTTTGTCTCCTTCCTTAGCTGTTTTACCTTTACTTGCTTTGTGGATATCTTTCTCCATAGAGCAGGCAGAGCAGCAGTGCTGGGGACAGCGGAATCCTTTTGATTCAAAGATGGCAGTGGGGAATTTGCGGATGCAGGCTTCATGATAAAATTTCCCACAAGCACCAACAGAACAACGTTTAACATCTGTACCAGACACCTTACATGAAAAACATGGGTGCTGTCCTGGAAAATTGGTGAGGAATACAGATTAAATAAAATCTGGCTTAAACAGAAGCAGCTACTGACATCAAAGAGCTATCCAAAAGAAACCACTATTATGTGTAAGATTTTAACATAGAAAAAAAGGGATTGAAAACGTATGGTTAAATTAAAATATTATTTAACATATTTTGCTATAATAATAGATTTGCTATAGTAATTGATAACTAATTTAGAGATAGACTAAAAATCATTTAGATCTCCACTTCTCATTGTATACTAAACTTATTTCCATAGAAAACCCAGAACAAAATTTTTCAATATCTGGGAGCTTAGAGCATCAAGGTCTTCCCAACACAAATAAATTTTAAAAAACTACCACAGAAAAGACAGATTCCATTAGGTAATCACTTACAATTTCCATATATAAAACAGGGATAAGAAGAAAACTCATAATCCTAATTTTAAAAATGCAGAAAATTACAGCAAGACCTCTTATTCAAACTGTAGAAAATCAAGGGCAAAGAGAAAATATTAAAATTAGCCACAGAAAAGACAATTATCTTCAAAGAAGCAACAGTAAGACTGAAAGCTGACACAGAGAAAAATGAAAGCCATAAAATAATGGGATGCTATTTTCAAAGGGCTAAAAGAAAAATTGTTACCAAGCCAGAATTCTATACCCAGTGAAGGCACTCTTCAAGAATGACGTAAAATCTATATACATTGGAGAGGATTAAGAAAACCAAAAGTTGGTTCTTTGAAAATACTTTTAAACTGATATCCCTGGCAAGAGTGACTAATTAAAATAAGGGGAAAAAAGCAGCAATATATATTAACAATATCAGAAATGGAAAATGATATATCACTACAAATCCTACAAACCTAAAGAGATAAATGGAGATCACTATGTTTTTGCCAATAAATTTGAAAATTTAGATGAACAGATTCCTAGAAAAATAAAATTTACCAAAACAAGCACAAAAATATATAGAAAATATGATTAGTTACATAAAGAAATTGAAACTATAATTAAAAACTTTCTAACAAAGAAAAATTTAAATCTAGATGGCTCCACTGGTCAATCTGCCAAATATTTGAAGAAAAAAATAATGCCCATCAGAATAGAAAAAAGAAGGAACAAGTAAAAGACAACTAGATGTGGAAAAATATATTCAACAGAGATGACAAAGGATTGTTTTGTCACATAAAGAGTTCAAATATAGAGAAAATACATGCAATGTATATAAGCAAAGATAGCTAAACAAGACTTATAAAGACTATAAATCAATATAGAAACAAAATAGACTAATAAGTGGGCAAAGGATATGAACTATTTAAAGCAGAAAGACAGCCAAAAAACATTAAAAAATGTTCAATTTCAGTAGTAAGGAGATAAATGCTAATTAAAACTCCAAGTAACATTTTAAAACTTCATCAAATAGGAAAAAACTTTAAAAGTTTGATAATACTAATTGTTGATGAGGATGCAGGGAAACAGGTACTTTTATATACTGCTGTTAGGAGTTTATGTTGGAACTACCTTAGAAGGAAACAAGGTAGTATCCATTTTTTTTCAAAGTACATTCTCTTTCTGCAGCCTAGAAATTCTTCTTGCTATTTACATTAGTGTATGTAGACTTGTATATATAAAAAGATGTTGACTGAAGCATTGTTTGTAACTGCAAACAACTTAAAGCAATTCAAATGTCCATCAATAGAGGACTAGTTAAATAAACTATTGATATAGTTATACTGTGGAACACTGCAGCAATTAAATAGAATGCATTTGTATTGACGTAAAAAAGTTCAAAGATAGTGAAAAAAGCAAGCTGCAGAACAATAGTGTAATACATTTTTATTATAACACACACAAAAATGTTACACACTTACACATATGCATACACGCACACGTGGACACACATACAGAAAAAGGCTTACAGGTCTAAACACCAAACTAATAATAATAATGGTTACCTCTGGGGAGACCTAGAATTAAGTAAGGCCTAGGATTAAGAGTGATGATCTAGGAGAGACTTCAGCTTGAGCTTTATTTTCATAACACGGCAATGATGTATTACTTGTGTATTTAATTAGCTGTAAATCTAAAATACTAACAAATAATCACACGTTTGACACTGCAATACATAAATGGACAAGACACACGAACAGGTCACTTACAAGACTGTCAATAAAGATACAGAAAAAAATGTTTAGTTGTAATCAAAGAACTGCAAATTATAACCATGTTTTTGTTATTTATTTGTTTTGTTATTCTTTGAAGGTCTTTTCTGTGGGTAATTTCCTCTTTAACTTTCTACAGTTTGAAGAAGACATCTAGTTAATTATTTTTCTTCCTTTTTTAATTAGGATTATGTTTTAATTTTTGTCTGTTTTACATGTGGAAATTATAAGTGATTATTGGCCATTGGGCTATCACCTTTTGGGAAGTATTCAAGATTTTCTCCATTTTTCTTATAATGCTATAAAAAATCTGAAGAAAAAAATACAAGGAATAGCTTTTTTGATTTTTTTAAAGAAAGTTAGATTTAGTTTTAGAAGTACTTAACCTTTACAAATTGGCTGAACTACAAAATTCTTTAAAATTAATACTTAAAACTGATTTTCAAATGTTTTTCAAATTTTTTTTATCGGTTTTGTTGTAGAAATAAAATATAGTACAGCGGGGTTTTTGTTGTACTGTTGCATATATATCAAATTATATTTTAACATGTATGCATATGAAAGCAATAGTATTGTTTTTAAAATAACTTAAATTTTTTTTAAAATTAAAAGAAAATTCTTTTCAAGGTTAAGAGGTTTGACTTCAGTTTTGCCTAATGCATAAACTGCTCTATGTAAAAATGAAATAGGTAGGCTTTCATTTGCAAAGTGATCAAAATAAGCAAAATAGAAATGAAAATTATTTTAACTAGTGATACTATTATACTAATAGAGAGCTGAACTATCAAACTCCTTTAAGACATGCTTAGAGCTCTAGCCGGTGAATACTTCCAATATCCTTCCTTCCGCTAGGGCTTCGTCTTCACTTAGAGCAAGTAATAAATAAAATAGTCTGTTACACATTTTTTTCAAAGGGGCAAATGAAAATGCTTTCTTTCCAGAAATTGCATTTGTCTTAAACAACAGAAAGAAGTGGTATTATAAGAACTTATTAGACATGTATCCTGTAATACTGTTTATATGTAAAGTGTTGATCTCTTGATAAAAAAAGTTGCTAAATCACCTTAATCAGTGGTTTAAAGAATCTGAATTTTCACTCCTAATATGTTGGAAGTATACCAAATTGGTATCAAACTAATTTTCATGTGATAATAAGTAAATCAAAAGCAATTTAAAAAATAATGAAAAAGTACAGTTGACCCTTAAATGACACAGGGGTTAGGGGCACTGATCCCCCGTGTAGTCAAAATTTCACCTCTAACTTTTGACTCCCCCAAAATTGAACTACTAATAGCCTACTGTTGACTGGAAACCATACCAATAACATAAACAGTTGGTTAACATATATTCTGTATATTGTATGTATTATATTCTATATTTTTACAATAAAGCTAGAGAAAATGTTAAGAAAATATAAGAGAAAATATATTTACAGTACTATATTTATTGATACTGTAAGTTTAAGTCATCTGTTTACAAGATGAATTGTCTGTCAATATCTATGTCGATATGGTCTTATATGATACAAAACACTACATGTTATACACGTTACTAACACTAGACATCAAAAATGAAAAGATGTAAAAAAGAAGTTCATATTTATTTATAGGTGTAATGATTCATACACTGATACTGAAGCAGCAGTAATGTGATTGCTTTATGGTAACTCCCATTCCTCTCTCTCACCCAACCCTTGGTAACAACTGTTCTACTTTGTGTCTTTATGAATTTGACTACTCTAGGTAACTCATTTAAGTGGAATCATGCAATATTTGTCCTTGTAACTGGGTTATTTAACTCAGCATGATGTCCTCAAAGTTCATCCATGTTGTAGCATGTATCAGTATTTATTTCATTTCTTTTTAAAGCTGAATAATATTCCATTGGATGTACATACAATATTTTTTTAATATATATAGAAGAATATTTTAATTCTTGTCTGTAGAAACTACAAAGACTATACATGATTTGGAAATGCGACGGCACCAAACACTGGTCAAAAAAGAATTGCCCACTTTATGCCTTCTCCTTCATCTGGTCTCTCAGAAATATAATGTTATCAGCTATGATTGTTGTTGCTTGTTGCCTCATGTTATTTTTGTCTGTGTATTCGCCATAGTCTACTTTCCCTTTCACATAAATTCGAGGCCCCTTTTTCACATACTGATATGCCACATCTCTGAGGCCTGGTTGGAATACTGAAATTCTGTGTCACGTTGTCTTTTGACTGACATCGCCCATTTGGTAAGCTTCATTTTCTCCGGATTTCCCTATCTCATTTGTCACTAGAGAAAATATTGTGACTGGGTTTCTCCTTTCCACCTGTCTCATGACAGGGTCCTGACCCACTTGTATAAGTAGCTGCACACAATTCAGAAATCTTTTGAGAACCAAGCTGCTCACTATTTCAGACTCATGTCTTACAAATTGATGAAACACCTGTAATACAGGTCTTCGAAACATGGCTTCTGTTTTTCTTTTCTTACAATGTAATCTTTAGTCTTTTTACCTAGCACAGAACTCATGCTTTCCTCCCTCCCTTGCCAGATGCTCGAGCCATATAGCCCAGACCCAGGGGCTTTTTTATCTATCCATTCATCCACTGATGGACAGTTGGGTTGTTTCCATGTTTTTGGCTATTGTGAATAATGCTGCAATAGACATGGGTGTACAAATACCTGTTTTGAGTCCCTGCTTTCAATTCTTTTGGGTATATACCCAGAATTGGAATTGTTGAATTACACAGTAATTCTAGGTTTAATTTTTTTGAGGAACTGCCATACTGTTTTCCACAGCAGTTACACTATTTGACATTCCTATCAATAGTGTACAAGTGTTCTAAAGTTTCCATATCCTGGTGTGTGTGTGTGTGTGTGTGTGTGTGTGTGTGTGTGTGTGTGTGTTAATAGCTATTCTAATGGGTGTACAGTGGTATCTCATTGTGGTTTTGATTTGCATTTGCCTGATTACTAATTGTTGAACATCTTTTCACGTGCGTATTAGCCATTTGTATTTCTTCTTTGGAGAAATGTCAAGTCCTTTGCCCAATTTTTTTTTTTAGGCAAGGCAACCCTTGGTTGACCTCACAGATTGCAAGGAACTTGTCAGCTTACGATTCTTTATTTTTTTATTTTTATATTTTTTATGCCTACAGCACCTGGTCTTCCTAGGTGATCTTCCATCCAAGTACTAACCAGGCCAGATCCTGCTTAGCTTCCAAGATCAGACGGGATCGGGCTTGTTCAGGGTAGCATGGCCGTAGACCCTTTGCCCAATTTTGAATTGAGTTTGTTCTTCTGTTGAGTTGTAGGAATTCTTTATATATTTTGGATATTAATCCCTGTCAGATACGTTATTTGTAATTATTTTCTTCCATTTTGTGGACTGCATTTTCACTTAGTTGATAGTGTCATTTGGTAGACACAGTTTTTCATTTTGATAAAGCTTATTTTATCAATTTGTTTATTTTTTTGTTGTTGCTTGTGCCTTTGGTATCATATCCAGGCAATCACTGCCAAATTCAATGTCATGAAGCTTTACCCCTATATTTTCTTCTAAGAGTTTTATAGTTTTAGCTCTAATCCATTTTAAATTATTTTTTATAAATGGTGTTAGGTAAGGGTCCAATTTCATTCTTTTGCATGTGGATATTCAGTTTTCCCAGCACCATTTGTTGACAAGATTGTCCTTTCCTCAATGAATGGCCTTTAAACCTTTGTCAAGAAATCACTTCACCATATATGTGAATGTTTATTTCTGGACTCCCTATTTGATTCCATTGGTTTATATGTCTGTCTTTATGCCAGTATTACATTGTTTTAATTACTGTAGCTTTATAGTAAATTTTGAAATCAGGAAGTGTGAGTCCTCCAACTCTGTTCTACTGAATTGTTTTTAAAGGAAAGTTCCTTCTTAAATTTCTTAACAGATGTGTATCAAATTAGATTATATCTAACCTTTGTTGGCAAAAATTCTGCTGGATTCTAGAGTTAAGAGAGAAGCCTTAAAAGAGTGTTTTAATGCTGAGCTATGTAGTCCTTCCTGTCTATAGTTTAAATCAGAGATCAAAAACAAGTGCTTAAAAGGGCTAGGAAAATTACATAAATGACTAGAGTGACAGAGTTTTAGAAAAAGGGAATGGTAGAGAATGTGAGGAACCAGTAGTACATGCCTGATTCATGTTCACACATTCAAAACACATCTTAAGGGCCAAATAAAACAATGTGTAGATAATGTGACCCTGAGACTGCCAGTTGGCAAACCATTCAAAAGTTTTACTGCAGAGTCTAAATGTGGTGAATAAACTGATATTTTATATAGGGAAAAATATGTTATATATTCAAAACAGTTTCTATGGCTTAATATGTGCATGTGTTATGTATGTGAGAGAAGACTGAGTGTGTGTGTTAGCATACATGATATATGTTCTTCGTCCTACTTAGGATGATAGAAGGTGAATGTAGAGAGCAAAGATTCTGGGGTCAAGCTGCCTCCTGGGTTTAAATTCCAGTTTCATCTTATTCTGTTTTTGTGACTTTGGGCAAGGTACTAAACTAAGCCCTCTAATCTTTACTTTCGCTTTCTACAAAGTGAAAATAATATCTATCTCATTACATTATGAGAATCAAATGAGATAATAGGATAAACTGCTTGGTACTAACAGCACCTGGCCTTTAGTAAGTTCAGAAAAATAAAATACCATAAATGTATTGGAATTTAGAATATGTAAATGATTTTAGGAGGTACATAATCAAATAAAAAGGATAAAATAAATGTATGAGAATCCAAATAAAGGAGGCAAAGGAGTAGGTAAATTATTAATAAAGTGTCAAGAGTAAGATTAGCATATCATATATACTTGATATCCAACTGGCTCATAGTTTCTCATAGCAAAAACAAAACAAAAACATACAGACATGGTTCCTAGAAGCACTAACATGCCATTTCCAGTTGACTTTTCACTTGCCTTATTACAGATTAAACAACTCTACCTCCTGCTTTCCATTATTTTACTTAGAATCATGGCTACACACAGAACATAAACTTGCATACTTCTTTATAAATTACTTTGATAGGTGGTAGTCTATACAGGAGAGGGGTAAAAAATTAATAGTGAATCCAAAACTTGTATGTTTAAAAAACAATTTTCAAGCTGAAACTTATTGGATTTCATTAACCAATGCCACCATAAAAAACAAACAATTTTCAGTAGCTCCATCTTTCCACTAAAAAGTACCATCACCATGGTTATAGTTTGTGACTGACACTTGTTCCAGTCTATTAAAGTCAAGGACTTTAAACCAATTTCTTGAACACAAAAATCTCAACCCCATCTGAAAAATAATTCACTCCACATACTTTCTATAGCTCTTTAGATAAATACAAATACATCTCAATGATTTAATAGATTTTTATGATTAAGTCACTGATAATAAAAAATTTCCTTAGGAAGCCTAATCACTGAATGGTCTTAATTTGTTGAAATACCTATGGAGAGGAAGTTAAGTGCTATATAAAAGTGGTAAGAAAATTAGATATCATGGGAGATGCTGGCCTTGCATATTCCTTCCTATCCATCTTTTCATAGCTATCAACAGAAGTAAGCTTACCAGTTTTACATTCCATGCAGATGAACTTTCCATCAGGGAGTGATGTCAACCCCAAGCACTCCAGGTGAAAGTGTTTGTAGCACTCTCCCTCACAAGGAATCAGAGAGTCACCAGAGCTTTCACAGATCTGTAATATGGCAAAAAGCAGTGATTCTCAAACTTCAGCAAGGCATCAGAATCACCTGGAGGGTCTGTTAAGACACAGATCGTAGGGTCCCTCTCCTACAGTTTCTGATTCAGTAGGCCTGGGGTGGGGCCTGAGAATTTGCATTTCCAACAAATACCCTGACAATACTGATGCTGCTTGTCCTTGGTCCTCATGGTAAAAACCAATGGACTAGACAATTATTTCCAGACCCATTATGGTATAAAGTTTAAAAGTCATACTTGATCTTTATTGATTCCTTCTTTGGAATCTGCATAATTGAACTTTTCTTCACAGGGCAAAGAAGTATTTTTCAAAAAGGGTAAATATACCTTAAAAGAAATACTAATTTAAGTTTATTAAAATGTTTTTGAAATCGGTCATTTGCCATTTACTTCCAATCCATAAGTTTCACAATGAAGATTGACACTTGCATGTGAATAATAAGAATTCCAACTCAGAAAGAGCCAGAAAAGGCTTTTAGAGCTGTAGCTTTAAAGTAATATAATTTAGATAGATACTACCCTCTCCAACAAGAGGTAAGTATATTATTGACAAAATAGCAATTTTTTTCAAGGTATAGGATAAGTCGCTTGCCTACCTGACATACAGTGTCCTTCTTACTCATTCCAAAGCCTCTTCTTGACAAACTTGAATCCACAGACTGCACATCGGAAATGTCTGCATCTGCAGTAGCTGACGGGCTATCTACTTGCTTTCCAAAGCCTACCTACATGAAAAACATAGCACATTTTTAAGGAAAAAAAAAATTTCCTCAAAGTGCAATGAAAATCCTAGTAACAGTTGCTCATATAAACCTTCATACAACCTCTTTTTTATTCTATCTTTCTAAAACACTAGATACTATATATCTGGTGTTTAAGAGAAGCTAGTTAAAATTAAAAAACTTTCTGTTATGTAAGGATCAGTGCAGGCTTAAAATTAAGACACTCATAATTACAAAATAACCAAGATGATTTACTTTGAATATTTTTTAAAATTCCCATTTTCCTCAAATAAGTAAGGCAAAGCAATATGTTAGTTGGTTTTGCGAAGCAAAAAAAGAGCACTGTGCTCAGACCCTTGAACATATTTACCTGCAGGTCACTCAGGCCTCTAGAATCGGAGTCAGATGTGTCTCTGTATGCTGAACTAGTCATTTCTACATCAGTTGAGGCGCGACTCCTTTTCTTTAGAGGTTTACAGGAATCTGAAATCTCGCTGGCACCTTAATACAATACACCGAAATTAATCCTAAAATAGTGCTTTAAGTTTGTTGTTTTATTTTTGTGGGAGAATATTTTTCCCCAAACTCGTCTGTAGTGTGAAAAAAGCACAACTCTTTTTGTAACACTGAAGTCACGAGTCGAAACTTCATAAGCTTCTGACCTTCCTGATAGTGATTTAATTTACAACTGCTCTATTAAAACATTTAACTCAGTGCTCCTGCTCTAAAGCTATTTTCAGTCAACAGAGCCCAAGCTCCAACCTAAAAAACAATTCTATCAAAACTATAGGATAGCTGATTTATTTGGAGCAATCCGAAGAACCATTCAATTTGGAGGGGGGAAGACATAAAACCCAACACACTGTGTAGCTTACAAATATGGTTGCAGAGACATCTCCATCTTGTTTTTATTAGGGATGTGACAAATCTTTGATTTGTATTCGATTCGTACACGGATAGTGCCATTTTCCCCCGAATTTTGAAATTTAGTTGATTATTGCCCCCCAAATAAATTTTGGATGTTCATAATTGTTCATTTGAGACTTCCTTGGTGAAGTGTCATTTATTGTGACCATTAACAAGTGCTGCAGCACATCTACATATGTCATGCCATTTAGGAGGCACATTGCTGAGGGTTGTAAACAATCAATGTTCAAGTGCAGCCAAATCACGAAGAGCTGGATGAGAGGCCTCTATGTGGAATTTGTGCGGGAAGAAATAAATAAAAAAAAAAAAAAGGCAGAGAATAGTGTGGAATTTTTTTAAAATTGTGTGTAATACAAATCCAGCCAAAACAATAGTGCAAAAAGTTACAAAGCAACAATCTCTTGGGCTAACGCAGTATAGGCTATACAGAAACAGCCACGATGAAATGTGCAGATCAGGCACGGTGAATACCAAGGAACCAAGGAGACGGTTAATATTTCAACCCACAGTTTGTGTTTTGGATTTTTCCCCCAAAATTTCCATATAACAAACAGACATCTAGATCAGCCCAGCAAGCTATGGTGGAAGTGTGCAGTCCAGAAGAGACCATGGAGAAACAAGTCTCCTGAGGCCATGAAGATCCGCAACAGGCTGAGTGAGAGTAGCACTTGGTATATAGCCATGTTCTGTGGTGGAGGATGTGGGTCTCTTTAGACTGCTCAGATTACTGGAACCTCGTTATCACATCCCATTCTATCAGTTTTTCACTGAATGTTTCCTTACATCTATAAATGAGGGTGCCTGCCCGTGTTAACGCTGATTAAAAAACACAAGTACACAAATCTATCTCCTTCATTGCTGGTGTATGGACCCAGAACACCACCACAAAATATTTCCTTGGCCTAAAAGATCACTGGATTAACAAGGAGTTTTAACAGAGGAACAGGAGTGCTGTACTGAGAGGCTTTCGTAGGGAAACACAGGTACCGCCATTTCCGATGAGTTTCTTAAAATGCTAGAAAAATGACAGACTGCCAAAGACAGCTGCCATGCTGTTCTCCATGATAACGGCACTAATATTTAAAAAAAAAAAAAAAAAAAAGAGCTTTAAACGATTGTAATGTATACAGTTTGGGCTGTTTGGCAAAACCCTGCAGATGTGCATTAATGATGCTTTATTTAAAAACAAACAAAAAAAAAACCAAAAACAGTCCATGTTGAAATCGATCAGTGTAAGTTAAACGGTGGTTTTTAGGCTGGACCCATGATTTACGCTGTACCCATCCAGCTCAGACCAAAAAAAATCATTTGAATGTTAAAGCAATTGTTCAGAGTCTTGAAGAAGAAAACAGGCAGGAAAATGCCAATAATGATGATTGGCAAAATCAAAATTGAAAACAAAGAAACTGTTTATCAAGCCGCCGACAAAGAAATCTTGCATGGAGACTACAAGTCTGGAGTTTCTGGGATGAAATTGTACAGGAATCTCAGTCCACAGTTTCCTCAATCGCTGCGGAGACGGAGCTGTCACTGAATCTGACAGAGCCCTGCACTCCCCGGTCCGCCGACCCTGTGGAATGGTGGAAACACAACGCAATCAGGCCTCCTAATCTCCCAGCGATCGCGATGTCTTTTCTTGGAGCTCCGCCAAGCAGTGTTCCCTCCGAGAGGCTGTTCAGTTCTGCTGAGGATCTCCACGGAGACCATCGCTGCAGACTTCTCCCCGAGAATGCAGAGAGGCTGGTGTTTTTTTTTTTTAAAATAATGCAATTTGCCCAGAGTAAACTACAAGTATTAAATACAGTCTGAATGATCTCACCAAAAACGCACGAATCATGCTATGAAGTTTGACTACTACTGTAGTCAAATTGCACACAGAAAATACAGATATAAGTTTAAGGTTTCTTAAACTTTGTGCATATCTCAAATAGATTTGCATAAGGTCATCTAATAATGGCCATAAATATGCTATGAATCATTTTAATTTACAAAAAGATTTTACAGCACTGTAAAAATAAATGTGGAAAGATTTTTTTTCAATCATGTTGTCTTGTCTGATTTGTCATAGTCCATGTTTGACAAACATTAACAGCTACTATTCGGTATTCAGTCGAATACCAAAAAAAGTGGATTCGTCACATCCCTAGTTTATAAACCAGTGAAACCCCAGAATCTTATGAAGAAAAGTTGGAAACAGTATTAAGTCTACATGGTGTTCTCCAATTTACTAAAACAAATAAACTTTTCACATGGAAGTACAGAATAAGATCAACTCTAAAAGCCACACGTGCACGTACACGCACACACACACACACACACACACCAGAGAATACTTCAGTTTCACACAAATTGACTGAAGAGCAACAACAATGATTTACAGAGACAAACAAAAATACATGAAGTACAAAAATTCTTTAAAATTGGTTTTAATCAGGAAATGTAAAGCAACATTATAATAACTCACCTTTCTGTAATCCAGTCTTCACTGTAGCCTGTGGAACTGTTTCAACCTGTTTAGACAGAAAAATACAGCATTAACAAAGAACTTTTTTCACTTTTAATTAACAGAGGGGAAAAAAAATAGTACTTCCATCAATCTAATGATGAGTGATTAATGTATCTGAAATCTGAACTCAGTCCCATATTCTGGGTAAAGTTCTCTGTCTCCAAGTCAGGGAGGGTTTAAATCCTAGCTGCCTGTGCTGAATACAAAGTGACAACACACAGCCACATGCTTGCTATCAAAGACTTTTCCCACCATTCCCTTGGTAGATGAAGAGAACAAGAATGCTTTCCTCAGTGTCTGGGAGGCAAGAGAGGGGTTGTTTCTGCAACCAGCCCCAATGTTGCTATAAACCCCTCCCGCCCCAAAGACGTTAGGATAAATTTTTACTTACTATGATACTCAGGTTAATGTAACTCACGCCACTTTAAGACCCTTCCGCGCCTGCACTCACAGCTAAGTTGCTGGGAATCAGGACCCTCTCTGTAGAGAGTGCTACAGGGCTTCATACAGCTGGAAGCTCAATACTTTTGCTGCTAGTACAAACTTAAGAAAATAAGTTTGTGATATTGCAAAAGCACTTTCTTGAGTGTCTTATGAACAGTGTCTTGATCCTACATTAGGAGAGCGAGATCAGAAGTTATTCTGCCAATGTATATGTAAAACACGTGGTAATCTGAGGATTGAACCATTGGAATTAAAGAAAAGATTGTTTGGAGGAGTTCCTGTTTAAGCTATGAACTGAATTTTATGTATAAGATGTAGTGAAATATGCATGTTGAAACACATTTTGTAAATATTTAAGGATTGTTCTAAACTTTTTAAAAAAATTTTTTATTTTTTTTTACAACAGGTAAAAAAACATACAACAGAAGCGCTTTTATAAGATACAATTAGTAATACAAATATAAAATCTTCTAAACAATCACTGGTATTGTTCTACTACTAACTGTAACACAGTGGTATTAACAATTTGTCCCATTTTGCACTCATTCTGCTTATTAATTTTAAACTGACTAGTCACAGACTGAATTTGGGAACCAACTGGTAAAATCACAACTTCATTTTGGTAATGAATACTATAGATTTGCAAGAGCTTAGATTTTTTGGAATATAATTTCCTAAGTATGAAAGTTAATTATGATAAATGAATGATAAATTAGTATATTATTTAAATTTTAGTTAAATATTCCCAGGAAAATTGTTTTACATGCTTGATGATACCACAGAGCACCCACAAAGTCACCTTTTAAGTTTGGAAGTTTAAAATTATGAAATAAAAATAGAAAAGTTCACACTTTTCTATATTAAGTAGTTTAAAAAATACTTATTGGAACTAATACCATTCAGAATTCTTTTTAATAGCAGCTGCCTAGGCTGTTTAAAAAATTAAGAAAATTTCTGATTTTGAGTTTAAAAGGAGTATGATTTCTAAAAATTTCCTTGAAAAGGGAATTTAATACGACTATTACTATACTGATTACACTAGTTTAAAACCTCTCAGTCAAAATGCCCCACCCCCCTTTTTTTACTTAGTGTTTATCTGATAACCCAATAACAGGTGAGTGCCATTCCACTGGGAAAATAACATTCCAAAAAATCTGTGATATCAACAGAAAACCCAGATCATCTGATTATCTGTTTCTTAAATATAATTCTTATAGTTAATTTGATTTGTTTTAAAAATAAAAACAATACATACCAGCAGCTTAAACCAAAAATCAAAATTAAAAAAGGGGGGAGGGGACTCAATGATGGTTCCAAATAAAAATCATGAAAACATGAAATCATTTTGTTCATAACATAAATTTCAAAATAAATGTGAGGAATGCTTTAAGAGTCTTGCACCACTGGCTTCTCATCTCCTGAAGCCTGACTGTTTTCTATGAAAATGCCTGAAGCAGAATCACAGGATGGTTGGATTAGAATTGGGTATTGGAATTCACCAGGACAGAAGCATAGGATAGTCCAGAAAGGAAACCCAGTTTGGGGAATGTTTCTCTTTCTTTTAAGATACCAGTATAAACCACAACATTTACAAATACAATGTTTTAACTCTCTACATGTAGGAAGCCAACCTGCTCCTTTTTGATCTTCTTCTTTGGCACAACCTCAGTGGATTTCTCTGATTCGGAACGAGTTCTAATTGATCTTCTCTGTTGCTTTTTTTCTATTGCGCCTAAGAGATGATTTAAACAAACAAATGAATGAAAATTCATTCAAGGATGCCTTAACATTTATGTAATTAAGATTTGACCAAATCCTGTGCTTTTCTTATTACTTTTGGTCTTTTAACTATAAATCACTAAAAAGCTATTACATAATTGGGAGCACAAAAATTTTTATAGATCAAATTATAAAGACTGATAGGCTGAGACTGAGATTCATAAAGGACTCTAAATTATATAGATGAAAAGGAACTGCTTTTTTTAAAATTATGAAGTCAATCTCAAATAGCAGAGAATGGTTTTAAAGGCAAATAAACACATTTAGGTAACTATAATTGAGGGATGAAGAGATTGAGGGAATAGATGAAAACGACTATTTTCAGCTGACATTAGGAATTATTAGTTAAAAATTTAATCAGTACTATATATTTTGCATTTTAACAAATGAATTAAATTAATTCTATGTGTAAAATGCTTAACAGTGCTTGCTGCACTTATACAAGTTTTGTTATTGTTCTATTATTAATGACAAAAAGGAAAAAGGCAGGAAAGACAAAAACGTTGACAAAAACTGAATCACTAAATTGTATCAAGGAATTTGCTATACTTTAGAAATAATTAGTCATGGAAAACTAGTTGAAACAAATTATCAAGCTTTTCATGTTAAACAGTAAAACAAGAAACTATTAAGATTTTTAAGCAGTAAAACTTTTTGAAAGTAAACAGAAGAAAACTCATGGACCCCAATTTGGAAAGGATAAAACTTAGATTGAAGACCACAACTTGAAAAAACACTAAGTCAGGAATGATTTCATTCTGTGACCCTGAAAAGGAATGATACCTTCAGTGTAGCTATTATCCATCTTTTCAGTGCTTAGACCACCTAAATGGTCCTTCCTAGATAATAATCACCTTTCACTTGTCATAGGAGAAAGCTGCTAAGACCTCCTATAAAATCAGGCAGAAGCTACTTCAATAAAGCCTTCAGAGCTCCTATATATTATTATTTGCTTTTATTGTTCTTGTCTATGTGTAAATGGCTTCCCTCACCTTAGTTCAAGGCCAAAACAAAGGATTCCATTACTTTTGTTTTGGGGAAGGAGTAGGTAGTTAGATAGTAACATATTGTTTCTGAGCTGTAGTTAATTGATTTCTAGCAGGGAAGTCACAAATGAAGGTGCTAGCTCCTTCTTTTACTTACTCTTCTCCTTACACTTATGAAAATTTTTACCAATAGACACCCTACTCCCAGAGACACCTGACTATCCCAGAGATCGATAGTTTGGTATGATCATCAATATTCAAGTACCTACCAGGGCAGAACAAAATGAAAATAGAACTGCTTAAAACAAACAAAAAATCTTTATTTGTTATGAGGATGACTACGTAATTGTTCCATCAAGTACAGATAATATTTGATCCACTGTCTTACATAGAATAAGGCAACATGACTTCTTAAAATTATTCTAAAAGCTATCAGAAGAACACATAAATTCTACTAAATTTACAACCACTAAAAGCTATTACATTTATGTTCTAAGAAAGAAGAGGTAAGCATCTCTAGATTTAAAAAATAGCTTAGAAATTTAGTATAAATGCAAATACAATTCTGTAAACCATAAAAATGTAAGAGTGCCACACAGTCTTTGTATCCCTAAGTTTACTAGGAATAGGCTCAAGAATTCCCCTTAAGAAGTTAACACCAACTAAGATAATGATGTAATTAGTTTCTGAAGGGAGATCAAATCTCTTTTCCGACTTTTCAAATACAGACATACCTCAGAGATATTGCGGTTCAGTTCCAGACCACCACAATAAAGTGAGTATCGTAATAAAGTAAGTAATCTTTTTGCTGGTGGAGAATCTCAACTTCAATTTGGAAAAAAAAGCAACATCTGTGAAAGTGCAATAAAACGAGGTATGCCTGTACTGAAGTTATTTTCACAACGAGCAAAATGGTCATTTAAAACAAAATATGCTTATCAGCCACAGCTGGTAACCAAATTTAAACCAAGGTCAAAGGTTTGGAACACCCATCCCCATATTAAGAGTCTAACATTAATTTACAACCTAATTATATGTGCCTGCCTAAGGAAGGAACTGAGCTTTGTCCAGTTGTAAAAAATTGTAACCTTGCTCTTTAAAAAGTAAAGAAAAAATAATTCATAGCAGAACTTAAGTCTTACAATGAAAAGACTACATGAAAATAAAATATTCAGTAGCTGAGGGGAAGGAAATAACCAGCTCTATTAAAAATAAAAGAATAATATTTAAGATCAATCTAATATTATATGAAGAATTTACTTTCTCCCTAATTAGGAGAATATAGATGTTTAAAGAAATATCCTCCTAGCTTATGTATCACATTTAAAATCAGATAAATTACCAAGAGTTTAGTGTAAAGATAACAAAACGGACATACCTGACTATGGAAAGCAGAGGCCAAAAGATTCTTTTAATATTCAAAGAAGGGAACAAAAATGTTCAATTATGGATAATGAATACAAAACCTCCTAAGTCCATCTATTCATTCCTTCAACATTATAATTTCGTTTTTTTTCATATGGTATTTTGAAATGATACAAGTTGCAAGTCTGATTCTGGACTTTGCTACTCCCTCCTTTAATGTGCTTCCCTTCTCAACTCAATTTTGATTTTGAATAAAGACATACTGTTTAATACGCCCCTCCATTATACTCCCCATCTCCTCTGCTACCACCTCTCCCTGTCCTGTGGCCCCATCCCTTTTTTTAAAAAAAGCTAGCCCCAGTTCTTTCCTGAACAATAATTAGATTTCAGAATAAGAATCTTATTCAAAATTTCCCTTACAAAAATATTTACTCCTTAGTGCCACTTGATTACAGGTTTGCCAGAGTTACTAATGATTCAAGATTACTACTTCGGGTCTTAAGACTTTAAATCCTTCTAGAAAATTATTTGGTCATTTCTTAGATTCCAAAAAAATTTTAGAAGAGCAAAGTGAAACAAACTTCTTTCCCCTAAATTAAGATTCCAAATGACCAAGCTAGTTTGATATCTAACTCTTTTCTTGATGGCTGTATGAAGCAGTGATACTGTTATATAAACCAAACGTACCAGACACTCAGTTAAACTATAAGATCCTTAGTAAGTCAGTCTCTTAATAAAAATTACTTTGACTATTCCAAAGGTATGATCTTACTGAATACAGGCATTTCTCTTATTAGCAAGAATAATAAGATTTTCAATTCATGGTATCTGTTCATCAGAGAACAGATTATAATAGGAGGGTTAGACCCTAGGCCTCTCAGCTACTAAGATCAAGCACAACTAAGAGTAACGAAAAGAGCATGGGCATTTGCCAAGTTGTTTCTAATAGGGGATAAAGAAGGAAACCGCAAGAATGTGTTAATAGTGTTGCAAATGTAAAGCTATTATTCTCATGCAAAGAGAGATAATCAAAAGGTACATCTAAGCTATGTGTAGATTTTATAACTATACTCTTTTAATTATGAAACACTATTATGTAAATTCCTATAGGAAGAATAACTGTTACTATGAATAAGCTCTCTAGCCCCTAAACCATTCTTTCCTATTGAAATAACTGCTTTTATAGTTTGATTTTTTAAAACATAATTTGATTTTGATAACTAAAAGTTTCTTAGGAACATAGCTACCATGTTATAGCAGAACAGAACTATAACCTCAAAATGGATCTTCATACGCCACATTTATACCTACCTGCAGAACCAGATGTTGCTTCAGGAGATGATATATTCTGAGTTGCCTTTTCATTTCTCTGGTTTGGTGTAGAAATTATAAGTCTGTCTTGTCCCCTCACACTTATTTCTGTTTTGTTACCAATTCCCTTCAAAATAATGCAAATGAAAAAAACAGGCTGATTACCAGGCAATGGTATCATTGGCTTATAAAGAAGTTTAAGTCTATAATTTGCTTGAATTTTATATGGTCTTGATTGCAGTTAATTATCTTAGCCATTATCAGAACAACTTTATTAAGTCATCAGGATATATTCCAAAATGTACAATGAGATTCTGCAGAAAAAAAAGTATTTGTCTAAGTCTAGATGATGAATATCACTAAAAAATGAATGTGTATCATGTAATTTTCTCTCAAAAAACAAAGCATTTTCTGGTCTGAATAGTCTCTCATTTTATTCATACCTCAGTAAAGGAACTCTAGTCATTTTCATTTGGTAAAGTACTCTACTACATAGATAAAAATGTCAACACATCCTGAAAGATAAAAACATCCATAGGTACAGAAATATGCCATTCATGGTGACCAAAATGTATACCCAATAAACAATTTGGAGCAGACAGAAAGCAGGTACAATTACAATTCTGTCTCATTTGAAGTATTTATAATGCAATGAAATAAAGTGACTTATAAAAGTATTTTTAAAGCCTTCATTTATAAAAGGTTGGTTTTATTTCAAATTTCATTTAAATAGTACTCTTTGAAGAGGGGATGACAAAAGTTTGATTTGTGCATCTAAAAGTAGGTAAAAACTAGCTCCAAGAATGGAGCCAATTTGCATTAAAAATGATATATTCATTTGCTATTTGAAGTTATCAGCAGAACCAAGTGGGGACTGTAACTAAAGTTTTTCCAAGTAGCTTAGTCTTAATGAAATCAGTTGAACCTATAGGCAGAAACAGGTTAAAAAAGGGCCCTTACACTTCTCTCTAGGAAAATATATTACTAATAAGGCACAGCTACATTTACATTTTAATGTGCACATGACAATGGTAGGAAATATATAATTCTTTAAAAGTACACGTCCATGAGGTACCACTAAATTGAATTCATAAGCCCACAATTGTGGTATTGGGTGGGGGCAAGAGGAGTAGTGAAGAAATCCACAGAATAAATATTATAAACATTATGAGAGTTCTAAAGTTTTCAAACTAAAAAATAAGTGCCCTAAATGGAGGCCAAGGGCTGGCTGACAGAGACGTTGTTTGAAAGGTTATTTTCACCCCATACCAAAGCTATCGCCACAGTTAACTGTTAAAGAACTAACACAGTTCTGGTATTTCTCTAAAATACATTAGCTATCCCAAGCCTACCTAAGCCTAACAAAATTTCTGATGCAACTAAACAGATCGGCAGGTATAATTACTACAATGGTTAATTCAGATAACTGACAAAAATGATTTAATAAGCACATTTTTCAACTAAGAAATACTAACTATACAAAATAGAAATAGGCAAAGTGCCCACTTTTTCCCCATGACTTTAGGGAGCTAGGTTCAATTTTGGCTGCACAGCTCAGGATTAATCTAGTACAGATGGGGCTATTACAAAAGAGAGGAAAAAAAGAAGGAAAACAAAGTCTTTTTGCCTGTCTATTTTTGCCCCATCTTAAACAGTAAACTGGCTGTATATTTCAAATGCGGTGGATAATAAGGGTATTTAAATTATGACCTTGTGTTTTTTTAAATGCCAAGGTTGACCACTTATTAAATATTGTTTCAAAAAAAAAAAAAAAAAACCATGAAAAAAGGAGGTACCTTCGTTGAATAAACAAATTGATCAATAAATTTCCCATCTCCTGTAGCATTCTGAAGAGCAAACACTTGTTCAATTTTCACAACTGGAGACATATTACACTTCTGCAAATCCAGGCTCCCTTTGTGCATTGTAATGGAAGCTGGTAAGGATTTCCTTGCTGCTGCTGTTTTCCAGGCGATTTTAACAGGAGGTGGTTCTTCCTCTTCAGCACTCGTGTGCCGCCTTTGGCTATGCCTCCGATTTTCAGTACTTGATAGTGAGGAGGCCACCTCACCTGCATTGGTCTGTTCTGTCTGAGTATTCAGCACTGATCTTGGTCTCCGGGTTTTTTTAACTTCAGTTTTGGAGGCAACGTTCTTTTTTGCTTGGGATAAAGCCTCTTCAGGCTGTTTATCAATATAGATAAAAGTATACTGTTCTATTCTTTCTTCTCGGGTCATTTTCAACGCTTTCTCGGCATGGGCAATGCCAATATCCCATTGAGCACGTTCTCTCTGTGGTCGAGGTTTCCGAATCTTTAAAAAGAGATACAGGCTTTATTGGACACACTTTAATCTAACAAGGACCTTTCAACAAATAGTATTTCCCATGTGAACCTGTCATCTTTCCAGGTATACATAAATATCTTCGAATTCTTCAGTCAAATAAATGAAATGTTTTAACTCCATAACTTTGATAAATCAGTATTACTATCAGATGACACGAAGGTCTACTCTTTAATACATCTTTTGTTGACCACTCTGCTGGACAAGTTCCTTAAAGAGGGAGTTGGCCTTCTCACGTCATATTCATAAAAAACTAGCAGTAATAAAGACAAAGAAAAGAAAGATTACAGAAATGATTGCTTTCAGCCGCCAGTAAAACACTAAGGTTAAGAATGATACCCTAAAGCTCCAGGGTGCTACAGAGATCACAAAGCTAACAATGTTTTCAGCATTGTTCTGCTAGTTTGTAGTATAATGCAAACAGGGGCAGAATTAAGAGAAAGGAGAGAGCCCTGAAGAACAAATATAAATTGACAAGACAAAGCAAAGCAG